GATAGAAAGCTTTATGCTTCCACTCCGGAATTGGACACCATTTTGCAGTTTCCCACTGTTGACCCGCCGATAGCGGCCTTGGCTTCCCCATCCCTCATTCCATCTGAGATTTCAGAGGGATTGAAGGCTGAAGACCGCAAGGCGGAGCTCATTATTCGCAAAATGCACCAAGTGGCTGCCTGGTCATTGCGTGTCGCTACAGCACCTTGTTCTTCAATAGAACTTGCTTAGTTTGGTTAAGGCAACTACAGGAGAGGTTAGGTCCAGAGGACTTGCGCCTTCATCAGGATGTGGTCAAACTGGTGGCAGCCTTAGAATTCTCCTCGGATGCCACGCTCAATGCGGCCAAGTTCGCATCCTGAGCTGTGGCATCCAACATAGCGTCTTGTCGCCTGTTATGGCTATGCCATTGGCAGGCAGACGTATGATTCAAATGGCGCCTTGCCTCCACCCCCTTCCAGGGCGGTTCCCTATTCGGAGCAACACTGGATCCTATACTGATTGAAATGAGGGACAAGCGAAAGATACTTCCTTTGACCACTAGGCGCACAGATCGGAGGCAACAACCGTATTGGGGAGTCGGAGTACTCATCCCTCCCTCTACACCCCCCTATCTAATAGATCCTTTTCTCAGCCCCAGGACAGGTTTCAGGATAGAGCCAATACTAGGGATGGAGGCAGAAACCACCACCAACAGCAGGCCCAGGCCCAGCGGGCCTTTCGTGGTGCCAACAACCAGTCTTTTTGTAGGTACCGGTGAGTTGCTAGAGGGTGGCCCTATTGGCGGGTGCTTAACCACCTTCGTCCGCCAATGGCAAACCACAACCTCAGATGCGTGGGCTCTTCAAACCATGAGGCTGGGCCTCACTCTGGAGTTCCTGGCCATTCCCCCGAGATGTTTCATCAAATGCCCGGTGCCCAGGTGTCAGGTAAAGCGGCGCCTGATGGACACGGAAATCCAGCATCTCATTTCCATCAGAGCAATAGAACAGGTGCCAAGGGGGCAGGAGGGTCTAGGGTTCTATTCCATACTCTTCCTAGTTCCCAAGACCTCGGGAGGATGACGGGCCATCCTTGACTTGAAATGGCTCAATTTTTACCTAAAGTACCAAAAATTCAAAATGCAATCACTCAAGAGTATTCTGGCGAGCATTCGCCAAGGTGATCCCCTCATTTCCATTGACATCAAGGAGGCATACTTAGATTAAAATTAGCTAAATCTGATTACCTTAATGTGTAATAGATATAGCTGAATAATGACTGATATGGATAGTAATATATATAATTT